TGCACTTACATTCTATGATTATTGTAGTAAGTTTTACTAAAAACCAAATGAAACTAATACTTTATTTTTTCGTTCAACGTTACATCCGAACTAATTTTTTATAGTCGAACTAAGATTCTAGAGTTCACCTCGGGTTAAGAGTGGTGAATCTATTGGGTTTGTGTATTTAAAAACAAATTGAACACTACATATACGAGTTAGATTTCAGTATAACTTAACTAATCGAACCATAGGTTTGTTTGGTTTGTTAGGGTTAAGGATTCCCTTGGGTTAAGGCTCTCCTTGGGTTAAGGTTCCCCACACTTAGGGTTTAGTATTTTTTTTTTTAATTTGCAAAAAAAAAATGATCTTTTGATATAAATTTTTAGTATAGTTTTAATTGTTTGGCTTAACGTATTTATTTGATAAATTTTTAGTATGCAAAAAATAGAAATGGTATCAGTATAAATAATAAAAATATGACTGAAAACTTATTTTCTATGAAAACTAAATACTATTCGAAAAAATGATCTTTTCAAGTTCGATATATAAAGATTCAAATCCGAGGGAAAACGTACAGATTTGTAAAAATTTCTAAATCCTACCAGATTTACAATTCAATTAAAATACACTACGAGTAACACCCTTTTGTTTATATATCTAACAATATACTCATATCTTTCAAATACTTTATGCAAACACAAAAAAAAAGTTCAAAGGAAAACTCATCTATCAAGTTGTTCTATGATGTGGAGGAGACTATATTGTTGAAAGAGGAAAGGCCATGATGAATCAATGACTTGGATTTTTTTACTTCTAGCGCAATTTTCATAAACCATCAAATGTGCATTGTTAAGATTTAGACGTTAATGCTACGGTTTAACATCCATGATCAAAGAATTTGATGGCGTTAACATAAAATATCAAATTTTACGTGGTTGTATATAGATTTAGACTTGATATTAGATTTTACGGCTTAAGATCTATGTATTGTTTTCAATATATACATGCATTTTAAGGGTTTAAGCTCCCATGTTACTCCTTAATTTTCAAAACATTTACGTGAATAATTTTATAGGTCTTTTTCAAAAAAATACATTAATGAAAAGTAAGATTTACTTAGTGAAAAAAAATTAATGACAATAACATTGAAGCGGAAAATATATACGAAATATATCAAGATTAACGAGTAAGATTTACTTATGCCAATTGTTGTAACAACAAAGCTCCTCATACTTTATCATGTATAATATATAAAAATTAGGTGTTCGTTAATTGAAATAATTAATTGGTTTTGTGTTGAGTGTAAACTATCGAATTACAACTTGAAAATGCTGTTTTTGTAATTTATTTTCCGCGCGAGGCGCGGATATTGCACTAGTGTTCATATTAGAATTCGCACCGATTATGCACGAAACAGTTTTACAGAAAACAATATGCGAAAAACCCTAATTTCGCACAGACAACATTCGCACGAAACCATAATTGCGGAAAACATAAATTCATAAACGCACGAATTTTGCACAGTAACAGATCTATACGAAAAACTATAATTCGCAGAAACCCGAAAATCGCACAGTGACAGATCTACGAAAAATTATAAACTCGCAGAAACCCTAAATTTGCACGGACGATTTTCTAACATAAATTCATATATGCCAACAACCTAGTTCGCATATCTCTAATGTTCCATCAT